CTGCACATAGCCGCTCAGCGCGACTACGAGCGTCACTCTCGTGACTTCACCACTGCTTTCTTGCAGGGTAGCCTGCACAAGGAGATCTGGCTGCGCCGCCCACCTGGCTTCATTGGGAATTTTCCTCCTGGCACCCAGTGGAGCCTCCAACGGCCAGTCTACGGTCTCCGCCAGGCACCGCGTGAGTGGCACGACACACTAAGGACTACGCTTGCGGCTCTTGGGTTTGTTCCCTCTACTACCGACCCGTCGCTGTTTCTGCGTACCGACACCTCTTTGCCGCCATTCTACATCCTCGTGTACGTCGTCGATTTGGTCTTTGCCACTGCTGACACTGCTGGACTCGCCCACGTAAAGTCCGAGCTACAGAAGAGACACACGTGCACAGACCTGGGTGAAGTGCGCAGCTACCTTGGCTTGCAGATCACTCGGGACAGAGCACGCTGCACCATTACCTTGACTCAGTCACACATGGTGCAGCAGGTCCTTCAGCGCTTCAGCTTCACGTACTCCTTGCCTCAGGCCACTCCTCTGCCTACTCGCCACTCGCTCTCAGCTCTGCCTTCGAATGAGTCCGTAGAGTCGAGTGGCCCGTACCCAGAGCTTGTTGGCTGCCTCATGTACCTGATGACCTGCACACGACCTGACCTTGCATACCCTCTTAGCATCCTTGCACGCTGTGTTGCTCCTAGGAGACACAGACCAGAGCACATGGCTGCAGCGAAGAGGGTGTTGCGCTACTTGTGCAGTACGTCGGGTGTGGGGCTAGTGCTTGGAGGGCAGAGTCCAGTGGTCCTCACTGGGCACGCAGACGCTTCTTGGGCTGACGACCAGGCTACTCAGCGGTCGTCACAGGGTTACACCTTCATCCTTGGTTCCGGCTCTGTTTCGTGGCGGGCTACTCGCTCGACTTATGTTCTCGGCTCCAGTTGTGAGGCTGAGATCTACACAGGAGCCATGGCTGCTTAGGAGCTCCGCTCGCTCACCTACTTGCTGACTGACCTCGGAGAGCTGCCTCGTTCTCCTCCAGTGCTATACGTAGACAACAAGGCCATGCTGGCCTTGTGTCGGGAGCAGCGCCTGGAGCACAGAACGAAGCACACTGCTCTCCGCTGCTTTCTTGCTCGTGAGTTGCAGCAGCGTGGTCTGTTGCGACTTGCGTACGTGGCCTCTGAGGCCAACACTGCTGATATCTTCACCAAGGCACTTGTGCCTTGTGATCATCAGCGCTTCTGTACTCAGCTTGGTCTTGTGCCTGTCTTGCCTCACTTGCTCACTTCTTGACCTTGCTTGTACCGTCACATACATATATACTCCCGCTCTTGCTTGTTTAGCCTTTTATATATATGTGTGTGTACTCCTGCATGTGAACTGTCCTTCTTGCCTTGAACTTGTGCTCGGAATGTGTGGTGACTTTGTGATCCACCCTGAGCTTTGCTTTGTTTTGCTTGACTGGTCTTGTGACCCCTTGTTCTCCCCCACTTTGCCTATAGGGGTGTGTCAAATTATAATGTTGTGTAGGCTGTAGTGGGGTAGCCTATATGGGGTACACATTTCTAGGGTTGCATATTTGTACCACTATCATTCCTTAGTGCAGTCATTCTTGTTTCAACTTTCTCAGTATGTGAGTCAGCACGTGGCAGAATTCGCGTGTCGCAAGGGTAAAAATATAAGCGGTATTTCAATTTTCACTAAAATACATTGCAGTTTCAATTATCAGAAACATACGTCTTATCTCTTACACAAAAATAGGTGTCGTATAAAAAGGCTAGCCTGTTTATAAGAGACACCCGTATAATAGACAACCCCTGTCTACTATTCAACACTGTCTTATATCTGGGCGATGACGGTAGTTGAGAGACAGTGGCCTTATATGGAAGAGTAGCCAGAATCCAAACTAGAGCCTTGACGGGTACAGGTTGCGGGACTATGGCTGAGGCGACGCGAGCGGTCTTGGTGACGCGCAATTCTGGTGACTCGGGCAAATCGCCGCTAATCGCGGCAGAAATCACGTCGGTGAATTGCCACCCCCCCCCCCCCCCCCCCCCCCCCCCCCCTCTCCCCCTCCCCCATGAAAAATCGCATCAGGGTGGTACCTAACACTACTTGTTGTCATCAGGGCGAGTACACCAGGTCGGTCTGAAATATCAGTGTTACACAAAAATTCACTTTTTATTGTAAGGGCGCCAGGGCTCTGGTTAGCAGGGTGAATCACCCTTACAATTTTTACTATATGGCTGGGTTGTCGTCCTTTGCCTTTTTTTTCAGAGTTGTTTGTGGCTGGACCCTTTTTCGAAAAAGCTCCGTTTCACAATAGGCTGATATTTCAGAGTGGTCTGTGTAACCAGACTGTTGTAAAAGACTCGAAACAAATTTGACACTGACGAATTTCGGGGGGGGGGGGGGGGTTCCAGCACATCAACAGTCGGCGAAAGTCTTGCCGCAATTAGCGGCTAACTTTCACAATCACGACTGTGCGGGTCTGGGCCTACTTTTGGATTCTAGGTACTCTGATTTCCAGAGTAGTTTTTTTCCCAACTCTGAAATCTAGGGTTGTTCATGCGCCTTACTCTGATTTGTCAGAGTAACCCTACACTTCAAAAAATAAAACATAGGCACGTCAGAGTAATATTTTTCTCTACTTTGATGTTGGTTAAGTTTCCTGTATGAAAGTTTTTGTTACGCCTTTTGTGCTTGTACTATGTTTCATTTCCGCGTTGCCCACGTTTCCCCCCTCAGTGCGTTGTTTCCAAGTGACGTGTTGGCACCAATAATTTGACTCAAGGAGAGGGGAGGGGAGCAGGCCAAATTTTATCAGTGTAAATCACCCTGATACCCTGATTATCAGGGTGGTTTTTGGTAGTCACACTGATGCCTCAGGGTAATTTTTTTTGGAGCTGTGATTTTCCTGATCAGCCAGGGTATACGTTTAAGGCACACTGATGCACCAGGGTAACCGTTCTTCTTAGCGAGTTTTACCCTGAAGCTAGTACCGTACCCCCCCCCCCCCCCGGACCTCCCCCCACTTTCCCGTAACTAGGGATTCCCGTTGGCCAACTGTCAAAACCTGAATTTGCATACATGTGATGGCACGAAGTGGGCCACTAATGGCCAGAAATACAGTTTCGCTCTACACAACGCCAAGGACTCAACTCGGACTAAACTCATTGTAACAATAACTGAGCAGGGTTTTTACAAGTCTTACACTGATGCCTCAGGGTAAATTTTTCAAACCTAGCCTGAACCCTGATGCAAAAGAAATTTCTTACCGGGTCACACTGATAATCAGGTTTTTGCTAAGGTGCAGCACTGATCATAAGGGTTGCTCAAAACCAAAAATTAGCCCTGGAGGGGGGTGGCTGACATGTGCGCTGGCTGAGAAGTTGTCAAACTTTTGTAGCCAATCAACGCTCATATTGCCCCCAACACACGACCGAAATCAGGATAATAATCTCAACGATTCGGGGAAAACCCGCTAAACGTGGGGAGGGGGAGGGGGGGAGGGGGGTGGGTGGGTTTCGGCTAGGGGGCATGTATCAGGGCTAATTTTTGGTTTTAAGCAACCCTTATCATCAGTCCTGCACCTTTGCAAAACCCTGATTGTCAGTGTGACCCCTAGGGAAAATTATTTTCTATCACGGTTTTCCATAGTTTCAAAACATTCACCCTTATGCCACAGTGTCACAATTTTGAATACCCTGATGAAGTGTTTCTACGGAAGTTCCAAACAAAAAACGAACTCGAGGATCGATCTCGAGCCATCATCGTTCCGAAGTCCAGACAACCGACCGGGCCACTCCAAAGCGGAAGTCCGATAGTTTGATGGTACAACTTATTGTACCGGGACAGAAGTGCGTAGGTAAATTGGGGGGGAGGGAGTTAGGGGGAAGGGGGTGATGTTACGCGCTTCAGGGTTAAACTCGTTATGAAATCGGTAACCCTGAGTCATCAGTGTGCCTTAAATGTAAACCCTGGCATATCAGGAAAATTCTAGCTCCCGAAAAAATTACCCTAGGCCATCAGTGTGACTACCGAGAACCACCCTGATAATCAGGGTACCAGGGTGATTTACACTGATAAAATTTGCCCTGGCATGTATTCCCTATACAGAGTAAATTCGGTCCCTGAAAAAAAACCCCAGAGGCTTCAGAGTAACCTACAGCATAACTCTGACAAATCAGAGAAATCTTAAGTTCCAAAAAAAAAAACCCAGCGGGTACAGAGTTACTTTAAAAAATGACTCTGATTTTCAGAGAAACAGAGTAATTTATTCTGATAACATGGGGCCTGGTGCGGGTCGCCTTGACGGCCCGGACCGCCAGGACACGGCGCAGCCGTGCAGAGTGGCAGGACATCATCACGTCCCACCTTCTGCATAGCACAGCACAGCGCGGCGCGTGCACGCACTCCCCTCCACACCGAACCTTCCAGATTCCCACTACCATCACACACCCTCCCTGGACACCCCACCGGGACGGGAAGCTCTCACAGCAACGCTCTGCAGACAAGCAGAGTATTTTCTACAAGCTCAGCCACTGTCTCACCACCACACAGCTCCCGTCTGAGTGTCTAGCTAGCTAGCCACATCCCGTTTTCTTGTCCATGGCGGCTGACGTTCTTTGTCACGATGACGACGAGGCCGGCAAGCCTCGTTCCGACTCTCCCCCGAGAACAGGTCTCAGCTTTCTGAGGCCTTTTGTGGTTCCCATTACCGAGTCTGTCCAGACGCGGGCAGATCCGCCCTCCCTACCCACTACTGGTTCCAATGCAACGACCCCAGAACCTGCCGCTGCCGGCCCATTGTTAGCGGCAGTTTCCCCAGTCTAAACATGAAAGGGTGAAAACAATGTGCACACTGATGAGCAAGAGTACCTTTCCAGCTGACACTGATAAAAAAGTCTGACATGGCTGACCCACCCTTACCCAAAGACCAACTTCAGCGAACTGGCCTTGCGAGTAAGAGTGCCCCAAATCCTATCCAGAGGCCTGGCACAGACACATCATAGTACAAGCTTCGCTAGTGTGGGCTCCACTACAGGTTTGAGCAGCTCAGGGCGTTTGAAGCGGTACTCCTGTTTGATCGCCTCTGCTGTTGCCTCCACCAGTCCTTCTGGTTCGCCCTCCACCGCTGCTGCCCCCCTTGATGGCTTGCCTGCTGAGCGCAGCGCTGCTGATGCCTGCACAACATGCACCACAGATGGGAGAGCATGTAAGAAGTTGGCATAGGGTTGGAAACACGGCCACCGGCCCCTCCCTCTGGTACGCCCTCCACCGCTGCTGCCCCCCTCGTGATGGATTTCCCTCGTGACATGCACCACATTAGGAGAGAGCATGTAAGAAGTTGGCATGGGGTTGGAGACAAGGGCACCGGCCTCGGGCTCGCCCTCCACTACTGCTGCTCCCCGTGATGGCTTGCCTGCTGAGCGCAGCGCTGCTGATGCCTGCAGCCATGCACACGTGCACAGCAACCCCTGCATGGTACCAGTAGCACTCAATTGCAAACAGCTAACATGCTGTGAATTGTAACACACTTTTCCTAATACAACAATCTGCGCTCACCATGCAAGTGCCATAGAGCGCCCTCAGGTTGGTCCCTCCGCTGTACTCAAAAGACTTTAGAGTCAACTCAAAGTCACATCTTACAGTGCAAGTGCCATATAGCGATGGTTCGGCTCCCCATCTATTGAGTATAGAATCTGAGAGTAGCGCTCACCATGCAAGTGCCATAGAGCGCTCTCAGGTTGGTCCCTCCACTGTACTCAGTGGCAGCAGCATAGTGTGATATGGCCTGCCGATAGTTCTCTGCTCCGCCTATCGAATAGAGAATCTGGGAAAACAAGGAACGAGGAGCGAGAAAAAGAGATTTCAATGAAAGATAGACACCAGATCACAAAAGTCAGAAAAAAAAAAAGAACCATTTCCTCTCCCCTTCCCCCCTGAGGCTCTTCCTGCATGAGTCATGGAGAGATGGTGGTGTTAGGGATGAGCAAAGGGCGAACACGAACATGTTCGTCTTCGCCCCTTGTCGAACACCCTCTTTTGCCGAACCGAACAGTGTTCGGTTCGGCGAACAGTTTAGGAAAAAACAGGTGTTCGCTGTTCGCCTGTGGAGGCGTGTTCGGGCGAACCTCGAACACTGTTCGTGTTCGTCGCGGGCAAATTTCAGCAGCGGCCCGACCACGAACGTGTTCGGGCGAACATCGAACACTGTTCGGCGAACGATTTGAGCTAAAAAACAAAACCTGTTCGGTTCGCCTCGAACGTGTTCGAGGCGAACCGAACAGGTGTTCGCCACCTTGCTCATCCCTAGGTGGTGTGGTGAGAACAAGGGTCAAATGCACCTTCCACTTAACTTTCTTCCAAGCTTCCCCTCCCTCTCCCCGTCCCCCCTCCCCGTCTCCATCCCCCTGCCCCTCCTACACCCTTACCCTCCCCCCTCCCCCTCCCACTCCCCCTCCCCCCCCCTCACCCCTCATTCATTTCCCCCTCACTCATTCCCCCCTCACTCATTCCACCCTAGGAACATGAGCAGGTGCATCAAAGAACAACACGGACTCAGCGTCATGAACACACTCACAAGGCCACTAGAAATAACACTGAATACCACTGTGCACCGCTTCATGTCTCCCAGCAACTGGGGCATGACTGCGGTGCCACACTATATCACTCAGTAGCACCCTGCACCACAAAGCAAACCTCTGCACCGCTCAGTACAACTCACTACCTTAGCATTCGTGACATGGTAGATGAGGTTGATAGGAGCTGACAGCACCACTCTGCACCACTCAGCATCACTCAATACCTCAGCATAAGTCACATGGTAGATGGGGTTAACAGGAGCTGACAGCACCACTCGGCACCACTCAATACCTCAGCATAAGTGACATGGTAGATGGGGTTGACAGGGGCTGACAGCAGCAGCTCCTCGTAGCAGAACGCTGCTTGCTTGAACCTGGGAGGTGCGGCAAGAAGAGATGCGTGGAAGAAGCGGGGCGGACAGGAGAAACATGAGTGGGGGAGAATGGGAGCAGGGTAAAGGATGGGTGAGTCTGGGAGGTGACAACGGCAACTCCTCGTAGCAGAACGCTGCTTTCTTGAACCTGGGAGGTATATCGAGCAGAGAGTAGGGTACAAAGATGGATTTGAGCTGGCAGCAGCAGGTGCTCATGGCCACATGTTTCCTGCATGAGCCTGGAGGATGAATGAAGGGAGCACATGGCAGAAGCGGGAAAGGTAAGCAAAGAAAAGGGCTCATCCAACACCCGTCCTCGACTCGCTCTAGTTTGCGAGAGTCTCCGTTGTTGTCACCCTCTTAGTCGCCCCTACCTGTGTCGCTCCTGTGCTGCACTTTACATTGCTTCATCTCTTTCTGGGAGTCAGGAGGAGGTGGAGGGCGTGAGAGAGCTGGGGTCCTGCTAGCTAGCTTCGGAGCGGACGCCATGGAAGGTAGGCACGCTGGGGTTCGCGCCAGTTAAAACTGGTTACGAGCTTGGCTTGTTCATGCATGCTGCCTATGTGGAAAAAAAACCTGCCTCAATTCGTGTATCATCAACAGTCGTTCGTTTGTCTCATGTCTAGTTCGTGCTAGATCAATCCAATCAGCCTTGAGTAGCAGGGTTGAGTAAGGTGGGTAAGGTTGAGGGCTACTACTGAAGGCTGATTGGATTGGTCCAGCACGAACCAGACATGAGACGAACGAAGCCGACTGTTGATGATACACGAATTGAGGCAGTTTTTTTTTCCACATAGGCAGCATGCATGAACAAGCCAAGCTCGTAACCAGTTTTAACTGGCGCGAACCCCAGCGTGCCAACCTTCCATGGCGTCCGCTCCGAAGCTAGCTAGCAGGACCCCAGCTCTCTCACGCCCTCCACCTCCTCCTGACTCCCAGAAAGAGATGAAGCAATGTAAAGTGCAGCACAGGAGCGGCACAGGTAGGGGCGACTAAGAGGGTGACAACAACTGAGACTCTTGCAAACTAGAGCGAGTCGAGGACGGGTGTTGGATGGGAGCAAAGAAAAGCCGCTATTCGGGGTGGCAGAAGGGCGAAAAAGATTTGGAAGGTGGAAACCAAGAGCGCTTGTTGATACACCATGGTCCTTGCTTGCTGCTCAACCACGGAGGAAGGAAAAGCGTGCAAGAGGCAAGGAGGAATGGAGGGATGGGAGATGGAACGATGGTCGAGATCGAATCGAATAACGATGTGGATAAAGATGACAAGCAGAATCCTTTATATGCAATTCCCGAAGATGACTGGAACACAGCACTGTCACCTAGCCACTGCGACATGCATGCATATGTGAAGGCAAGGGTTCATGCATGTGTATGTGAAGGCATGGCGACATGCATGCGCATGTGAAGGCATGGCGGCATGCATGTGTATGTGAAGGCATGGCGGCATGCATGTGTATGTGGAGGCATGGTGGCATGCATGTGTATGTGAAGGCATGGCGGCATGCATGTGTATGTGAAGGCATGGCGGCATGCATGTGTATGTGAAGGCATGGTGGCATGCATGTGTATGTGAAGGCATGGCTGCATGCATGTGCAAACTAACACAGCAATGGCATGAGCACATCCCAACGCACATGTGCAGCGAGATATAGAGGTCCCCTAGCTCCTTCCATGCCTCATAATCCGCCATGTAACTGGAAGGAGGGAGAATGCGGAGGGGAGAAAAGGTGGAGGAGGAGAGAAGGGAGGGCAGGATACATGTGCCACGAGAGCAACACATAGCTCCTTTCATGCCTCATAGTCTGCCATGTAACTGGAGGAAGAAGAGGGGAGGGGAGGGCGAAGCGGGTCAGGGGGATAAAGAGGGACAGGCTTATTATTTGAGTTGCAGGAGTGAGCACGCATGGTATAGGTCCCCTAGCACCTTCCACGCCTCATAGTCCACCATGTAGCTGGAGGGATGGGAGAGGAGGGGAGGGAGAGAAGGATGGGAGAGCAAGGAGGAGGGGAGGGAGAGAAGGATGGGAGAGCAAGGAGCTACGTTGCTAAATACAAGTACCGAGTACAATACGTTAGCGTATTATACGCTTGGTATATACGCGGTACGCCAAGGCTGGCGTACTGCTGATACGCAAAAATACGCTGGCGGTCAGCTAAAACTTTTTTCCCGGGCAGTTATAAAAAAACCTGTTTCAGGGGGGGGGTTCAGGCCGACAACAACACATGTCAATATTTTATTTCATAAATATCCAGAAATACATAGTTCATCCACATAATCCCCACTCTCTAGCGAGCTTCCCCACAGCCTATTTCCTTGCGGGGCTTTTCCACCACCACCCCTTCCCATACTCATCCGCCAGCACTGCATCATCTCCTTCCCCCCCCAGCAGGTCATCCTCCTCCTCCTCGTCCATGTTGTAGCCGCGGGGGATAGGGGCATCCGGGATGTTCCCGGGCACAACCGTGCTGGCCCCATCCTTGTTGTACCAATTGAGCACAACGTTCCAGTAGTGCGCAATGTAAACCAGGTCCGCACACTTGGCGGACCCGAGGCGGTTGCGGCGGGCGGTGTGGACGCCTTCCCACTGCGCCCAGCCACGTTCGCATGAAGAAGCCGAGACGGGCTGAGTGAGAATCCGGCATGCGAGGGTGGCAAGCTCAGGGTACTCGGTGGTGTGCCACGACCACCACTGCACCATGCTCATCTCCCCTTTCTTCACTGCCTCCCTTGCAGCTATGGCGCTTAGCTTGCCAAAACTGCCCTCCAAGTTGATGTAGGCCAGCAATGCCTCCTGCAGCACAAGGGAGGCACGGCGAGGGGCACCATCCTTGCCGCGCCTGAAGGTGACGTGGTCATAGTGGCGCTCGATGTAGTCCTTGAACACCCTCGTGCACTCCACATCGTTCCTGAAAATTCCCTCCTCCTGGTTGGCCGGATTCAGGATCCGGCCAACCACATGCATGGGGCAGGCAAGGGAGTTGTCCCACCTGTCCTTCACAATCTTGGTGATGTCTGCCCTCTCTGTCCGAGTCAAGAAGTCGCCTGAAGCGTCGAGCTTGTCATTGATGTTCTCGGTAAGCTGTAGCATAATGTCATACAGCTTACCCATCATGCCTTTCGCGGAAGAGTCCGTGGCCCGCATGGCCTTGAATGGCACCGCCATGAGAGAGGAAAAGAACTCTGCCACCCCCCACCACTCCTAAGTTGGAATATACGCTACTTTCATTTTGCGTTTTGCGTTTATACGCTTGTCGAATTCGTACGTTGCGTATAGTTTGAAAATTCGCCGAGTTGAATTTCAGGCAGACCGAAAAAAAACAAAATTTCAATCTGAAGCTCGCGACGTGGCGATCTCAATTCCAAGTCGCAGATGTCGCGAAATGAACTCAAATTTTGAATTTCGAGCACCAAACCTCATCAACCCCTCCCCTCAAACGTTTCACACCCCTTTGAACCACAGCATTCCACCATCCCTCCAAGTGCTACTTTACTGGTTGGGAGCTCAACCCAACCCAATCTCCCAGGCAGAAAGAGAGGCGTTTGTTCCCTCAACATTCATTCTCTCGCTTCCTATTCTAGCTATCTCCTTTCCCAAGCCACCATGGCTTCCACTCCTACAGCAACCACTTCTCGTACGCCACCCTCAGAGTCTCCTGGTAGTTCCGCTGGTGGGACCTCTTCTAGTACGTCTTTGGTCTGCATGGACAGCAAGCACGCAGTCTACCGTCACTTCAAGGTGCCGGCCAATAGCGTTGGCGAGAACGGCACCAAGGTGTGTGCCTACTGCAACTTCACGTTTGTTGGCGAGGTTCACCGTTGCGCGCAGCATATCACCAGCTGGAACGGCATGCGCCGTCGCGAAGTGCATCTCTGCACTGCAGCGCCGAAGACTGCACGTGACGCCGTGAAGGCGCTTTACGAGTCCAAGTTGAAGGCCCGTGAAGCGAAGCGTGCGGCTGAAATTGCGGCGGTCGGCGCAGTCAACGGCAGAGGTTCGGACAAGAAGAAGAGTCGGATGACCGACTTCTGCGGCGACGACGCCGCGTGCGTGAACCAAGCTACGGACGAGGCCATAAGCCTCTTCTTTGCCGCTCTTCATGTGCCGGAGCATCACGCGGACCACCCACTGTGGCGGAATGTGGTCTCCAGCATCCAGCGCGCGGGGCCGAATTACGTCGCGCCGAAGAGACGCTACATCAGTGGCGCCGGTCTTGCAAAGTGCCGCCAGCGCATTGAGGCGGCGCTCGCTCCTATCTCAGCAAGCTGGCGCCGTGACGGTGTCACCGTGGCAAGCGACATGTTCTTCGACAAGGCCGGCCGCCCGCAAGCCAACGTGCTCCTCATCAACGATAGCGGTGCGGTGTTTGTGGAGTCGATCGACACGAAGATGGAGATGAAGACCGGGGGCTACATCGCGGGCATCTTGCGGCCCATCATCGAAAAGGTCGGCCCCGAGAATGTCGTCGCCTTGTGTTTTGACGGCGGCTCCAACTACGCGGCGGCATGCAGGGTGTTGATGCGCGAGTATTCCCACATTGAACACATCCCTTGCGCGACCCATGTCCTCGATCTCCTGATGGAGGACATCGGGAAAAAGGGATGGGCGAAGGACATCGTCACGCGCGGGGACACTCTCATCTCGTTCGTCCGCAACCATCACTTCACCCGGGGATACATGCGGAGTCCGCTCGTGAACGGCGGCAAGGGGAAACAGGTTCTCAAGCCCGCGGGAACCCGATTCGGCACCAACTACATCGCCATCAACCGCCTCTGTGAAGTGCGCGCCGGCCTGACGCAGATGGTCCTCAGCGATGAGTGGATCGAGTGGACTGCGGCTGTAGACAGGGCTGGGGCAGACACATTCAAAGACAACATCCTTGATGCCGCGTGGTAGACGCGCGCCGAGTTCTTCGCTAAGCTGATGAGGCTGCCATTCGTCGTCATGCGCAAGACTGACTCGGATTCGAAGGGCATGATGGGTCGTCTCTACGACCTCATGCTCCAGCTCACCGAGGACATCCGCGACTTCCTCGACGAGCATGCGGAAGGGGTCCTGACAAGCGACGAGGTGGGGGATATTCGGGAGATCGTGTAGGACCGCTGGGACAACGGGCTGGCGTGCAACCTGCACGTGATTGGCCGCATCCTCTACCCCACCAACCAGGAAGAGTGCATTTTCCGCACCGACTTGGAGTGCACGAGGGTCTTCAAGTAGTACGTCTCCAAGCACCATGGTGACAAGACGGTCACCAGGAAGGACGAGGTCGAGCACCGCGCCTCTCTCGTCATCCAGGAAGGCCTCAATGCCTTCCTGAACCTCCAAGGCAGTTTCGGCATGCCCGACGCTATTGCCGACCGCCAGGCAGTGAAGGAGGGCAAGATGACGGCGGTGGACTGGTGGACATGGCACGGGACCGATCATCCTGAGCTCACCACCATGGCTTGCCGCGCCATCACGCAGCCGGTGTCTGCGTCTCCATGTGAGCGTAACTGGGCGAAGTTTGATGCAGTGCATACGGCAAGGAGGAACCGCCTCGGCGCGGTGAAGCTTCGTGACCTGGTGTATGTGACGCACAATTGGCAGGTGGTGCACAACTGGCACAAGGCCCGTGAAGGCCTGGGGGTGGTGAAGGGAAACATCGAGGACCCCCCCACTCCGGCTGGCTATAACGTCCCGGAGGAGGTGGAGGAACCTGAGGAGGGGGAGGATGATGTGATGGCAGATGAGTACTAGTGGATGGAAGGCTCCATGCATGAGCGGCAGGCAGGGGATGGAGGGTGGACCTGAGTAGAGTAGGGGATGGGGGGGTAGTAGCATGATTAAGGTGGGTGAAGTTGTAGCGGCAGATTAGTCTTAAGGGTTTTTTTTTCCTGTAATTTTCATATTAATACAAAGGGGATGGGGGTTACAACACCCCCCCATCCCCACCTCTTACCCCAAAAATCTGCCCGGGGAAAACTTTTTTCCTGCCCGGGCAAGTGGATTCTTGTGCGTACCAGACCCCTCAGGGACTGCGGTTTGCGTATATACTCTAGCGTTTATACAGCAAGCGTACAAAACACTAAACGCGTATATTCCAACTTAGCACCACTCCTCATCCATCACAGCAGCCCTGAATTTCTCGGCTGCAGTCTTCCTATCCTTGTCCCCCGCTGCCCACACCTTCCACTCGTCGCTGAGCACCATCGCCGCCAGCCCACTCCTCACCTCACATAGCCGGGCCATGGCTATGTATTGTGTCCCGAACCTGGTTCCCGCAGGCTTGAGCACCTGCTTCCCCCCCACTTTCTTCATATAGGCACGGGTGAAGTGGTGGTTGCGCACGAAGGTAATCATCTCCCCTCCTTTCTCCACAAGCCCTTTCAGCACCGGTTGGCAGCAGGACATGCAGCAGTGGGCACTTCTCAGCACTCTCTCCGACACCACTGCATTCCCACCCCACTGCACTCCACCACTCCGTACCCCTACACTCACGTTTCGAGATACTTCTTGAGAGCGCTGATGGCCCCCACCGTGTTGCCCTTGCCTTTCAGCACAGCAACTTGACGCTTCAACACTTGCTGGCAGCGCGGAGATGTGCACGAGAGAGGAGCAGCAAGAAAAAGGGAGAGAGACGACAGAAAAGGTGTTTGGTTGGATGGCTGCTGCTGAAGTGATGTCCTTGCTCTTGAGCACTGCCATGTGGCATTCCAACACTGGATGAGGGGGGATGAAGGAAGAGCAGAAAGAGCAGGCGGAAAGAGAATATCAAACAATCACTTCCTTCGCTACAGAAGAGAGCAGGCACACGCTCTCACCCACCGGGTCCTGAGAGTTGCTCTCCAGCAAGTCAGAGTAGACCTTGTCCGCCTGATCGCACCACCCCTTCTTGAGTCTTGACCGTGCAACAAGAGAGGAAAGGGAAATAAGCACACTCAATTGATCTGTGGCCAGGCACACACACCTGGTCCTGCGGGTTGCTCTCCAGCAGGTCACTGTACACCTTGTCCGCCTGATCCCACCACCCCTTCGCCTCCAGCCACATGCCCTCCAACCGCCCTGCACCGCACACGATACAGGGGGGAAAAGACAGGAGAGAGGAGAGGAGAGGAGAGGAGAGGAGAGGAGAGGAGAGGAATGGAGAGGAGAAGAGAGGAGAGGAAAGGAGAGGAGAGGAGAGGAGAGGAGAGGAGAGGAGAGGAGAGGAGAGAAAACGAGAGGAGAGGAGAGGAGAGGAGAGGAGAGGAGAGGAGAGCAGAGTAGAGGAGAGCAGAGGAGAGGAGAGGAGAGGAGAGGAGAGGAGAGGAGAGGAGAGGAGAGCACCAGGTGCAAGGTCAGTGAGTCATGCCATAAGTAACAAAGGCCAAACGGTGATGGCCGAGTGGTGCAAGGTAGTGAAATGTAGTGCAAGCGGTGCAAAAAGCCTTAGGCGTGGTTGAACGGAGTGGGTTGGGTGCAGCAGAGCGCGGTGAAGTGCGGTGCAGTGACTCACCCACGCGAGTGCTATTGGGGAATGCGATCATGAGGGCTCCTATGCACTCCTGCCATATCATCCACACAATGCAAAGAACGCAAGTAGGTGTTAGGAGCGGTGCAATGGGGTTTGCATGGTAAAATGCGATCATGAGAGCTCCTATGCACTCCTGCCATGCACAGCACCCAGAGGGCATGTACAGCTGTGGTTATGAGCGGTGCACTGCGGTTTGCATGACAGCATGCAGACTTCGTAGTCCCAATGCTACGCGCAGCTGGTGGCATTGCTGGCATGGCAGCGCCGCAGCACACCAACAATGCCAACCGTATTTTGAAGTTGACTCAAACAGCAACAACCCCTACTTTTTTTTGTCTTTTCAACAAAACCACCAGCTTGGGGGAGGGGGGTGGGTGTGGAATGAGTGACCCATCCATGACATGCCTGCTCCTTGCAACAGAGCCTCCATGCTCCCCTTCCTTCCCCTCCCCTTCTCACACTCCTTCTCCTGCACCCCTCCCCATGCCCCCCTCCCCATGCCCCCATCCCCATGCCCCCCTCCCCATGCCCCCCTCCCCATTGCCCCCTCCCCATGCCCCCCTCCCCATGCACCCCTCCCCATGCCCCCCTCCCCATGCCTCCCTCCCCATGCCCCCCTCTCCATGCCCCCCTCCCCACGCCTCCCTCCCCACGCCTCCCTCCCATGCCTCCCTCCCATACCCCTCTTCCCATACCCCCCCTTCCTATACCCCCCAGCTGCTGGCAGTCCATTGCCTGCACGATCGCCACCTGCTGCTTACAGCACCCGCCCCATGGCATCCTTCCATGTGCCCCCCAAACTCCTTTGACTGGACGTCTCAGGCTGGGGGTACTTTTGAGGCGCCTCGAATGCTGCTTACAGCACCCGCCCCATGGCATCCTTCCATGTGCCCCCCAAACTCCTTTGACCGGACGTCTCAGGCTGGGGGTATTTTTGAGGCGCCTCAAATGCTGCTTACAGCACCCGCCCCATGGCATCCTTCCATGTGCCCCCCAAACTCCCACCCCCCTCCCCATGCCCCACCCTACCCGCCTCCCCCCCTCCCCCACCTCACCTTGGCGATGCCCAGCTGCTGGCAGTCCATGGCTGCGATCGCCACCTGCTCCATCACATCCCACACTGTCAACAGTGCAGTGCGGTGCCACACAGTGAAAGACGGTGCAGGAGGGGACGAAGGGGTGTGGAATGGACGGGTGAATGGACGGCATAGGGGATGCAGCAACGTGACGTGAGGCATGCATGGCGCATGATGGGGTACACCATGCCACGTCATGCCATCGCACATCATTCCATGCCACGTCATGCCATCGCACATCATCCCATACCACGTCATGCCATTGCACATCATTCCATGCCACATCATGCCATCGCACATCATTCCATGCCACGTCACGCCATCACACATCATTCCGTGCCACGTCACGCCATCGCACATCATTCCATGCCACGTCATGCCATCGCACATCATTCCATGCCACGTCATGCCATCGCACATCATTCCATGCCACGTCATGCCATCGCACATCATCCCATGCCACGACACGCCATCGCACATCATTCCATGCCACATCATGCCATCGCACATCATTCCATGCCATGTCATGCCATCGCACATCATCCCATGCCACGTCACGCCATCGCACATCATCCCATGCCACGTCACGCCATCGCACATCATAGGCTGGGAGGGTGAAACACAGGGAATGAGGCACAGCGGGCACATGAAGACACCACGTTATGAGGCACAGCGGGCACATGAAGACACCACGTTATGAGGCACAGCGGGCACATGAAGACACCACGTTATGAGGCACAGCGGGCACATGAAGACACCACGTTATGAGGCACAGCGGGCACATGAAGACACCACGTTATGAGGCACAGCGGGCACATGAAGACACCACGTTATGAGGCACAGCGGGCACATGAAGACACCACGTTATGAGGCACAGCGGGCACATGAAGACACCACGTTATGAGGCACAGCGGGCACATGAAGACACCACGTTATGAGGCACCACAAGTCAGCACCCTGTCTGTTGTATTAACCCCTGTTATAAGCCTCCTCACCTTCGTCTCCCAGCTTGCTCCTCTCATCCGCGCTGTTAATCAGAGCCATGTTATACTCCTTACAAGCACTCTCCCATACCCCTTATAAGCCTACTCACCTTCGTCTCCCAGCTTGCTTCTCTCGTCTGCGCTGTTAATGAGCGCCATGCCATACTCCGCCACTTGAAACGGCCGCCGCAGCCGCAGCCGCCGCACCTCCCGCAGGTACTTGGCGCATGTCTTGGGGGTAGGAGAGGGGGAGGGAAGACGGGGAAGGGACAATGAGGGAGGCAAGGACTAAGCACACAGCCGCCGCACCTCCCGCAGGTTCTTGGCACATGTCTTTGGGGGGGGGGAGACGGAGGGGGCAGTGGGGGGAGGGAAGGACCATTAAGGCGGAGCAGAGGGGGAGGGGAGGCCTTAAACCGCAGCCTCCGCACCTCCCGCAGGTACTTGGCGCACGTCTTTGGGGGGGGGGGGGGGGGGGGGGGGGACGGAGGGGCGCAGGGAGGGGAGGAAAGGATTATTAAGGGGGAGAAGAGGGGGAGGGGAGGCCTTAAGCCGCAGCCGCCGCACCTCCCGCAGGTACTTGGCGCAGGTCTGAAGAGGGTGGTTAACAGTGGGGGGGATGGGGAGGAAAAGGAGGAGGAGGAGGATAAGGATGAGCAACAGACACGTGGTGGCGATGCGTCAAGCACCAGCCGCCGCACCTCCCTTTCACCGGCAAGACTTGGTGCATGTCTGCTGGGGGGAGGAGGGAGGGAAAGGGGAAACGGGATGGAGGAGGAAGGAGGGAAAGGGGAAACGGGGAGGAGGAAGGAAGGAGGGAAAGGGGAAACGGGGAGGAAGGAGGGAAAGGGGAAACGGGGAGGAAGGAGGGCGAGGCCTTAACACACAGTCACGGCGCCTCCCGCAGGTACTTGGCGCATGTCTGGGAGATGGGGGAATGGAGTGGGAAGAAGGGGTGGGGAGCGGGGGTGGGGGAGGGAAGAGGTGTGGGGTGGAAAGGCGTGGGTGGGGGAGTGATAGAGGATGAAAGACAGTCAAGCGGCGGAGAGGCCTCGAGTAAGCAGCCGCCGCACCTCGCGCGGGTGCTGGGCGCATGCGGAAGGCGGTTGAGGGGGAAGGGTGGGGGGGGATGTGCGGGAGGGAGACGGGCAGCACGATGACAGCTGCCGCCGCGCCTCGCGCCGGTGCTGGGCGCATGTGAGAGGAACAGGAGGTGGGGGAGGTGCGGGCGGAGAAGAGGCGCGAGGCGAATACGCGAATACTTCGATCCGTGGGCTGCGCACCACAACCCACCCCTCCCCCCCCCTTCCCCTCCACCCCTCTTCCCCCTCTCCCCATCCCCCACCCAAAAAGCCACAAACTAGCTCTGAATGACGCGATTCCCCACGGATTCGGCTAACAAGGCAAGTGGACGATCACTAAGAGCGTACCTCGGGACCTCCGCCGCGTTTACCGGCGATCGGCTTTAATTGCCTTTCCAGAGACTCTAACTCCTTAAGCTCCTTAGCCGAGATCATGGTGGTGGTTGCGAGGAGTGGTGACCTATACGAGTTAGTTGAGGGGAATGATCTCGTCGCGCTTCGAAGGAGGTGTATGGAGACAGGCAAAGGCAATTCAGTAGACTAGGCAGTGCCTGATACTCCAATATATTAACTTACATAATCACAACATAGCCACTACACCGCGTCCCGAACGGCCGTGGAAGAGATTCGGATGCCTAAGGGCGACGTCAGGTTATACATTTATCATGGGTTTACAGTTCTTGCATCGTGGTTTAGAACGTTCCAACACGGTGAAAAGCGGTTCTCGAAGTTTACCGCTCTGCACTGTGTTGAAACGAAGTTAACTGCAGTGGGCGTACAAAAAGTTGTACAACCTGACGTCGCCCTAAGATCCAAAAAGTCTAGGGTGGGTCACGTTCCTGGTTCGTCAAATGCGGTCAAGTACGTTAAAGCGCGATAAAAAACGGTTTGCGGCGGTGAAAACTCAGAAATTTTTTCAACCCATTTCTAACGCACCAGACCACATTACACGAACCAGGTACGTAAAACCGTGACCCGCCCAAAGCTAAAGGATCTCGCGACATTGGCGAGAACACTGAGTTTCACGGTTCCAACGCATTGTGTGGATCGTGCAACACTGGGTGCACCATTGGTGAGGTGCTCGCCGGAGTTCGCTTGGTTGCGAGAACAGAAACCTGAACATTGCACTTCATCCGGTTTACATCGCGCTCATGTTTGATTTTGCGAACAATCATCATTGACGAGATCTGTCAACGAGCTTTCGTAAAAAGTTGCCATCACCTCGTCGAAACAGGGTGAGTTCGTCAGCCTATGAGTGTTCGTTCCCTGCCTGACGCGCAAGTTCAAAATTCACCACGATCCGCAATTTGTGACCAGGAGTGTCACGAGTTCGACCCATACCCCTGCAGACTACCGTAGGGTTAGGAACGCGGCGCCGCGACCTTGCATATGCCCCGTTCCGCCCAGTGGTCTAGGGCAGGCGGCGTAACTGATTTCCGTGTTCGCGTTCACGCGATACACGGGCAAGGTTCTGATCCTTTACAAGCTGCTGCGGTAGAGACCTGGCACCTAGCTGCGTCGCGGGGAGCGCCCGGTAGCGCGCGAGGAGTACCTGACTCTACGGGATAACGAGCTGAGGTCTCGATTAGTCAACTAAGCGGCGAGCTCAGTTGCGAGGTGACTCCTCACTGCGAAGCCCGTTCCATTACCGATTCCCTCTAAACGCGGTGCGTTCCGCTGCGATCTCCCCCCCACCCCCCCTCGTTTCTTTTCTCACAGTAGTGACGGCAGGAATCACCCCTGTCGCGTCGCGAATGAATGCATTCGGAGTTTTCTGACACCGCTCCCTACATTGGTGCGACTTTTGGGAATTCTCAAAATTCGGAGTTTCCTGATACTGCTCCCTCCGACCCTTCCCCGCCAACCTTCTTTCCCTTCTCCTCCCCCCACCCCCCTCCCCGCCCCTTTTTGAGGCGCCTCAAAAGTCGCCCCTGTCGCGAGTGAATGCATTCGGAGATTTCTGATACCGCTCCCTCCAATCCTTCCCCGCCAACCTTCTTTCCCTTCCCCCTCCCCCCGCGCCCCCACCCCCCCCCCCCCCCCTCGCCTCCCCCTGTCCAGGCAGCATGCAGAGCTTGGAAGAGCGTCAGGAGAAGCAGGAGAGCAGAGCACGCCATTTCAAGGCCCCTCTTCGCCCTGGCATGCGATCTGTCTAGCCCGCCCGTCCCGTCCGTCTCGCCGCTCCCCTCCAGGCAGCATGCAGGGCGTGGAACAACGCCAGGAGAACCACAAGAGCTTGACGAGGCACCTTAAAGCCCCTCCTCGCCCGTCCATGCGATCTGTCCAGCCCTTCCCTCCCAGCCCCTCCCCTGCCCGGCCCACCAGGCAGCATGCAGGGCGTGGAAGAACGCCAGGAGAAGAACAGCAAGAGCCCCGCAGGCTATCCCCAACCCTCCTTTCCCGGCCAACCGTCTCTCCCCTCCCCCTCTCCCCCGTCCCTCCCCCGTCCAGGCAGCTTGCAGAGCGTGGAAGAACGCCAGGAAAAGCACAACAAGAGCCCCGCGAGCTATCCTCAACCCCCCCTTCCCTGCCAACAGTCTCTCCCCTCCCCTCTCCCCCTCTCCCCCCCCCTTCCACGCAGCATGCAGAGCGTGGAGGAGCTCCGGGAGAACCTGGTGAGCTGGTTTTTCTTCCTTGCCCCCACTCCTCACCATCCCCTTCCCATTTTCCCGCATCCCCCCCCTCTCCTCCTTTCAAGTCCCCTCCGCCGCCTGTCCAGGCAGCATGCAGAGCGTGGAAGAGCTCCGGGAGAACCTGAACAGGTATCTGGAGCAGCTAGAGCAGGGACAGTTGTGAGCATGCACGCACGCACGCACCCACTCACCCCCTCCCGTCCCCGCCTACCTCTCCCCCCCTCCCCCCCCGCCTCCCTCTTCCAGGCAGCATGCAGAGCGTGGACGAGCTCCGGGAGAACCTGAACACGTACAGGGAGCAGCTAGAGCAGGTGAGTGGGACCATCCGTTGGTGCAGAGGAGAATGATGTAGGGTGGGAAGAAACTGTGGGAATGATGTAGGGTGGGAAGAAACTGTGGGAATGATGTAGGGTGGGAAGAAACTGTGGGAATGATGTAGGGTGGGAAGAAACTGTGGGAATGATGTAGGGTGGGAAGAAACTGTGGGAATGATGTAGGGTGGGAAGAAACTGTGGGAATGATGTAGGGTGGGAAGAAACTGTGGGAGCAACTGGAAGGTGCCTACTAAATCATGTGTTTTTTGAGAATTCTCAAAATACACACGCTAGATCATGAGCGCCCTCTTACCCCGTCTGCTGGTCCGTGCGTCTCTTAATTAAGTATTTTGGTTTCTTGCTTGTTGCTCTGACGCCTGCGATTCCAGCTTCTCTCCTTGGTCATTCCAATGCGTTCAACTGCCCTTTATAACAGGTCTCGGAGTTGCTTATAGAGGATCCTGACAATGACGAGTACAAGGAGATGGCCAGTGGGCTCAAGGAGGTGAGATCTTCTCTTCTCTTCCATTCCAGCACACTTATTGTACCACCTGGTGGCCTCTCTTCTTCTCGTCTCTTCCATTCCAGCACACTTATTGTACCACCTGGTGGCCTCTCTTCTTCTCTTCTCTTCCATTCCAGCACACTTATTGTACCACCTGATGGCCTCTCTTCTTCTCTTCTCTTCCATTCCAGCACACTTATTGTACCACCTGGTGGCCTCTCTTCTTCTCTTCTCTCCTTTTTCACACCTGCTGCTCGCTCGCATGGCTGATCGATTCAAGTGTCAGTCATTACCTGTTCGCATTCTTTCATTCGCTACAGTGCCAGTCAGCACCCGCTGCTGTATCCTCGCTCTTGACTAAGCTCACTTTCCGCTCTCGTTGTTGTCTCCACTCTCAACCTTCCACGCCCTTCTCCCCCCTCCCCCCCCTCTCCCCCCCTTGCTCTCCTCGTCCAGGACATGAAGCACACACGCCACGCACACTCCACTGCACACACACTCCTCATTCCATCTCACGCCATCCCCCCCCTCGAAGCCGAGGGATTAATTCCGAGGTCATCTCTCGGGGGGGTCATCGAGCCCACAGGACCTACCCTGTGCAGCGAAGCAGCAAACGCAGCAGAGACCACCACACACACTCTGCCTGCACACTTCTCATTCCATGCCTCTCCTATCCTCTCCCCCCTCCACCCACCAGGTCATCGAGCACACAGAGGACCTGCTGAGTGCAGCGGAGCAGCAGACACAGGAGGGGGGAACTGCCACACACACTCTGCGCACACCTCATTCCGAATCACTCCATCCTCGCTCATTCCCTCCCCCCTCTGGCAGGTCATTGAGCTCACAGAGGACCTTCTCAGTGCAGCGGAGCAGCAGACACAGGATGAACCGCCATGCACACTCTGGACTCCCCTCATTCCATCTCACTCCTTGTAGTCGGCTTACAAGTCACCTTGGCAATCCCCCTCCCCCCTGGCAAGTCATCGAGCTCACAGAGGACCTGCTCAGTGCAGCGGAGGCACAGGAGGAGACATCTGAGTCAACTCAAAAGTCAGCGGAGGCACAGGAGGAGACTTCTGAGTCAACTCAAAAGTCAGTGGAGGCATTGGAGGAGCTGCCACACACACTCTGCACACACCTCGTTCCATCTCACTCTATCCTCCCCCTCCCTGCCAGGTCATCGAGCTTACAGAGGACCTGTCCAGTGCAGCGGAGCAGCAGACACAGGAGAGGAGAAGCTGACACGCACATTCACACTCTTCCTCACTCACTCCATTGCACTCCTCGTGACTTCTGAGTCGACTCAAGTCTCCTTGTCCATCCTCTTCCTCCCTGGCAGGTCATCGAGCTCACAGAGGATCTGCTCAGTGCAGCGGAGCAGCAGACACAGGAGGAGCCAGCACCGCCAGATGCAGCAGCAGGGGTTGCAACTGCTGTGGTTGCCACTCCGTTTGTCCCCATGGCGTTTGTGCCGGCCGCTTCTGCTGTTGCTGTGAGTGTGTGTGTGAGCATGCCTTCAGCTCAGTTCAATGCACCCTGTCTCTGCTGTCCCCACCCTCTTCCTCTGCATCTGATTCACGTGGGGACACCACGTGCATCGCATGCATCGCCTTTTCTTAGCGCAGCTCAAACGAATCATCGATATTCCGCCCACAGCCTCTTTGCACCGCTCTTGAAAAGCCCCTCTCCTGTCCTTTGTCACATACAGTCCAGTCCACCTACGTCAGCATGCCCTCTCTCCCTTCTTCACTCACCCATCCTTCCCTTTCCTTATCCAGACTTCTGAAGTTTTTTAAGCCTCTCAGCACCTCCCTGAGAAAGAGTCGTCACCTTAGCTAATCCAGAACCCTTCCCTTCCCCTTCCCCCGCTTCGTTCTATTTCCATCCTAATGTGTGTTTTCTAGACCACTGATCCGGCAGCTTTAGCAGCAGTGTCGTCTCGGATTGCAGTGGGCACGTCAGTGCAGGCGGTGTGGGGAGTCACCGCTGGGACTGCTGCTGGTGGCATACGAAGCTCTGAATGGTGAGTGAGAGAGGGGGGGATGGAGGGCTAGCAGCAGGGGGGGCATCAGCAGCAGGGGTCCCAGCAGTGTCATTTCGGACGTCAGGGCAGGCGGCGTGGGGCGTGACTGCTGGCACTGCAGCTGGCAGCATTCGCAGCTCCGAGTGGTGAGAGAGAGGGTTGGATGGTGGGATGCGAGGGGTTGCTGGGTTGGTGGATGATAGTAGTGATTTTTGCAGAGCACCTTGCAGGCGGCGTGGGTACAAGCGCACAGTGCAGGCGGCGTGGGTACAAGCGCACAGTGCAGGCGGTGTGGGGTGTGACTGTCGGCACTGCCTTTGGCTGCATTCGCAGCTCCGAGTGGTGAGATAGAATCACGGCATGGTTGGGTGGGTTAGATGGTGTGGTGGGTGGGTGTATGCAGCAGTGTAGACGACGTGGGGCTATGATGCGAAAGACGCGTCCTGCGTCCTGGACGCATGCGTCCAGACGCAGGACGCTTCACCAGGACCAGAAAGACGCACCAAAAGACGCAGTCCCGGGCAGGCAAAAAAAAACCCTGGGCAGGCAAAAAAATTTGTTATAGGGCATGGGATGAGGGGGGGGGGAACGTTCCACACTTTCAAGGCAAACTTGGCCCCAACATGGGGTCAAAATGTCGAAATTTTGACCCCTTGGGGCTGTTTCCACATTTTGACCCCACATTTTGACATTTTGGAACACTAGGCTGTTTCCCAGGAAGGCAATGTGGGGTCAAAATTTCGCGATCTCAACACTCGCGTCGAAATCGCGAGATTGAAATTCTTAATCGGGGAAAAAAAAAAATTCGGGGCAGCCCGAAAAATTTTCGGGCTGCGTCCTGCGTCTGGACGCGCGTCTTGCGTCCTAGCGTCCAGACGCTGCGTCCAGACGCAGGACGCAGCGTCCTCCGAGCGTCTTTAGCATCATAGGCGTGGGGTGTGACTGCCGGCACAGCACTTCTTCTGGCGGCATTTGCAGTTCCGAGTGGTGAGCGGGATTGAGTGCACACAGCGTGGAGCGTGGTCCTCGCATGTGGTGAGAGGGGATGGTGGTGGGTGACATGCATGGTGGGGGACATGCATTGTGGGTGACATGCATGGTGGGGGACATGCATTGTGGGTGACATGCTGTTGGTGTTAGGCCCCAATCTCACATTTTGTACTTGTACTTTTATATCCTAGTTTAGTGTACTTTGCACTTTGTGTTTGGTTGGGTGTACACCCACATCCCAACCAAACCCAAATGTAATCTCCAAGCAATCTCCAACCCACCAATTGGAGATTGCCTTGGGATTACCCTTGATTCCCTAGGATTGCCTCCTGATTCCCTCCTCATCCCTACCTTGCTCACTCCGGATGTACTTAAAGAGCTTTGAGCTCACTACTATAGTATCAATTCTAAGCTCAAGTTCTGACATGGTATCAGAGCAGCTCAACCGCATACGCGGATCGTGATCCTCTCATCTCTGCGGATACTTGTCCCGCAAACCTCGGGGAAGCCATCGCCAATCTCGTCGCCGTTGATTCGCGACATTCATCGGCGGAATTTCTCCCGCCACATCTTCCCGTCACCATCGATGGAAACTTCTCTGGTAAGCGCATCGTCGGCGCTCTAACCTAACACTCGTTTTCATCAATTCGTCACTCTCGTCACTTCTTCTCCTCGTCGGGCCGCCGCCCGTCGCCCTGCAGCTTCTCGTCGGGCCGCCGCTCGTCGCCCTGCAGCTTCTCTCCGGGCTGCCGCCCGTCGCCCTGCAGCTTCTCGTCGGGCCGCCGCCCGTCGCCCCGCAGCGTCATCTTCGGGCTGCCGCCCGTCGCCCCGCATCTGCACTCCTACCCCCATCCCCCCTCTTTCCCGCAGCTGAACAGGTGCAGCAACGCAGCCGAGCAGCAGCGTAGCCGCGAAGCTGAGCAGCCGTGTAGCCGCGAAGCCGAGCAGCAGCGTAGCCGCGAAGCTGAGGGTGGTGTGTGGGGGGGTGTGTGGGAATAGGATTAGTAGGTAGTTGACACTAAATTGGCGTCTCAGTCAAATTCTCCTTCAGAAACCCTAAACCTCAATATTCTCTTTCGAAAACCCTAAACCTCCGGTTCTTCAAAATCTCCTTTGGAAACCCCAAACCTCAAGTTCCTATCGGTGACTTAAGAGCGGCGCTCCGCGCGAGAAGTTAAGGGGTCTCCACCATGGCTTTCTCGTCTTCCACCATGGCGAACCCCATCACCCCGCTCCGCCTTGAAGCCGATGGCTCTAGCTCCAACTTCAAGGCGTGGAACTACGGAGTTGACAAGCACCTCCTGAGCCGTGACGTGCAGGGCCTTGACCTCAAGGACGTCCTCCTCAACCGTGGCAAGGGGAAACAGCCCACTCTTCCCCGTGAACCGACCGAATCTTCAAGTGATACTGACGTGATGGCGTACGAAGAAGCTGTTGAGAAGTACCGGAAGTGGGAGAAGGCCGATGCTGCCATCATCAGCGTCTTCATTGCCTCCACCCCTCCCGAACTTGTCAACACGTTCCACAACTACCCTACCTCCAACGCCATCTGGAAGTATCTCCAGGATCGGTTCATGAACAAGACGGCGGTCGGAGTGGCGATTCTCATCCCCAGCATGTTTCAAGTCCGTCTTGAGGACTGCTCAGGAATGGCTGACTACATCGCCAAGGTGCAGACCATTCATGGTGAACTCAAGGAGCTGGGTATAGTCTTCCCCGAACAAGCCCCTGCAGCCGCCCTTCTTGTTGGTCTCTCCTCGGCATATGAAGTCACGAGGAAGATGCTCCTCACGCTCTCAGCGGAAGACCTCACCTTTGCTAAGGTCTCCACCGCACTCCTCTTTGCCGAGAAAGACTCCACGGCTCAGGCCAAGGCATACGCCATCCGTGCTCCCATGCCCCCAGCAAGTGTTGCAGCGGCCCTTGCCTCGGCGCCTTTCCAGCGCAACCGCTTTCCTCCGTGCAACTACGTCGTCAAGTATGGCAACCGCAAGGGACAAGTGTGTGGTGGCACTAACCACCCCCTTGCCACGTGCTTCACGAAGAAAGACGACGAGTGGTATGCCATCCACGGGGTTGACAAGAGGCCGCCAAACTGGATGCGCGCTCGTAAGGCCAATCTCGTTGAGGTCCAGGACCCCTCTTCGGCTAGTGCTAGTGATAGTGCTCCTGTTGATGTGCGTATCAACCTGTTGTTTCCTGGCACTGCCATGATTAATGAAGCCACTTCCCAGTACATCGACTCATCACAGGCACCACAGTACATAGAGTTCACACTCGACAGCAGGGCCACTCACACTGTGCTCAAGGAGACACTCTCCTTCAAACCCTATCCAGCACCTATCCCTCTCTTGGGAGCTGACTCCAGCTTCACCACCCTAGCCAAGGGCACCTCCACAGTCCCATGCCCAGCCTTCCCTTCCGGCACCGTCACTGGCATGTGCGTGCCTTCACTACGCCACAATCTAGTGGCTCAAACAGAAATTCAGAAAGCAGGGCTACGCACCATCTTCTTGGAGAATGAGGACCACTGCGACATCATTGACCCACTCACCAACAAGGCCTTGGCCCGCTTCACCCTCAATAGCAGCGGCCTCTACACGCTACGCGTTCCTCTCCCACAGGTTTCAACCACCCAAGCACAGGCTCCCATCACACCATGCACATGTCGCAGCCTCTCCAACCCGACCATCCTCTATCATCATCGGTTAGGGCACCCAAACTTCCGCACGCTTGCTGACATGGCCTCCAAGAAACTTCTTCTCGGCCTGCCAGCCACACTTCCTCCACCACCTGACTCACCCGCTCCCACGTGCCTTGATTGCACCAAGAGCAAACTGCGCCAACAGCCCCACACTGCCTCACCCACAATCGCAGCGGCACCAGTGGACCTAGTGCACATGGACGTCTGGGGCCCTGCCCCTGTTCTTGCACGAGGTGGATATCGCTACTTCCTAGTTATCGTGGATGACCACTCACGATACGTCTCTGTTCACCTCCTCCACACTAAGGCTGAGGCTCCAGAGGTCATCATGGCGTGGGTCAAGCAGGCACAGACCACCTTTGACCGCAAGGTCAAGCGCCTTCACTCGGATGGGGGGGGTGAATTTTGCAACGACAAGCTCAAAGCCTTCTGCTCCTCCGAAGGCATCCAGCAAAACTTCACCCTCCCTGACAGCCCTCAACAGAACGGCATAGCTGAGAGCCGCAACCACACCCTAGTGCAGATCACTCGGTGCCTCCTCAGCCACTCCAACGCTCCACACTCTCTCTGGGGATACGCTCTCTACCACGCCGCCCTCCTCTACAACCTTTACCCCCATCCGCACCTTCCCGACACCACTCCAACCACACTCTGGCTCGGGAAAACGCCCACTGCTCGCTCTCTTCGCGTTTGGGGATGCACCGCCTATGTCCTCCTCAACCCTCAGGCTCGACGCCAGAACGGTGGCAAGCTCGGTCCCAAGACTCAAACGTGCATCTACCTTGGGCACAACGCCGACTCACCTGACTACCTCTTCCTCAATCCCTCCACTCAACAGTTGGTCAGGAGCCGCGACGTTGTCTTTGATGAGACCCGCCCATTCTACTCCCCTTCAGGACGGGACCCTCTCCCTGATCCACCCTCCCTCGTGTGGGCAGACTTTGACGCGCCTCCCGACCTCCCGCCTGCTCCTGCCCCCTCCCCTCCTCCCTCTCCTGCCATCCCACCATCTCCCTCTGAGGTCTCTGACCCGGCCTCACCGGTGTCTTCGGCAGCTGCTCCGCCCCCCCCCTCACCTTCCTCACTTCCCGCTGCACCGCCCCCTCCGAGCGCACCTATCACCTACCATCGGCGGTCCCACCCTCCGGCCCCACCTCCTCCCCCAGTTCCCCCCACCACAGAGGAACCCGCTCTCCCACAGTCGCCCGAGCTGATCACGTACCGCAGGCGGCCCATTCCCCCACCCAAGCCTCCTAAGTCACCCTCTCCGACACCGCCTGCCCCACCCTCCTCACCGGTGGCTCATGGCACCCGCTCCCATCGCGCTGCTCTTCCACTCGCAATGGTTCTTCGATACACAACGATCACACCGCCTCCTCCTGCTAGGGGGGATGTGCCCTCTACCCTTCTAGAAGACAGGCATGAGGAGCTGTGTGATCTCCATGCAGTCATTCCTCAGCTCTCACACATCTTCCCCGATATCACTGGCTCACCCTCCCTCAACCTCGCGGAGAACCCGACCATCCCTATCCCTCTCACCGTCCAAGAGGCTCTCTCAGGCCCTCATGCTGCCGAATGGCGTGCTGCCATGGACGCGGAGATTGCAGCATTCACTCGCAACCACTCCTTCGACGACGAGACTCCACCTCCAGGAGTCAACATCGTCGGGGGCAAGTGGTTGTTCCGTGTAAAACAGCTCCCAGACGAGGCACCGGTGTTCAAAGCGCATTACGTAGCCAAGGGCTTCACCCAGCAGCGGTACCGCGACTTCGACCTAATCTTCTCCCCCACATCCAAACCTCCCACCATTCGAACGCTCATGGATGTTGCAGCTCGAGAAGACTTTGAGATCAAATCCATGGATGCCTCCTCCGCCTTCCTACAAGGACGTCTCAAGGAGACAGTGTTCATGGACAGACCAGAAGGCTTCCCAGGAGAATTCCCTCCCAACACTGTCTGGAAGCTGAATCGCCCCGTCTACGGCCTTAAACAAGCCCCTCGCGAATGGCACAACAAGGTGAAAGAAGTCCTCCTCTCCCTGGACTTCCACCCCTCAACTGCTGACCCGACTCTCTTCATCCGTCGTCATTCTGAGCCATTCTACATCCTAGTCTACGTGGATGATTTTATCCTCGTTGCCAAGGACTCGGCCCAAATGACCTCAGTCCAGGCAGCCCTGAGCAAGGCCCTCCAGATGAAAGACCTCGGTGACCTCAAGCACTACCTGGGAATGGAGATCACTCGTGATCGCAAGGCTCGCACCATCTCACTCTCCCAGGAGTTCTACATCGACAATGTGCTCAAGCGGTTTGAGATGGAGCTGTGCACACCTGTTGCCACCCCGCTGCCGCTGCAACACCTCCTTACAGCTCCTGCTGTACCCACACCAGAGGCCTGCTCTGAGCCATACCCGGAACTTGTTGGGTCCCTCATGTACGCCATGATGTGCACCCGACCGGACTTGGCCTACCCAGTCAGTGTTCTCTCTCGTTACGTGGCCCCGGGTCGCTTCAGTAATCTTCATTGGAAGGCAGCAAAGCGGGTGCTGCGCTATCTTAAAGGCACAAAGTCCCACGTTCTCACACTCGGTGGGCTCTCCCCTCCTCGCCTGGAAGGTTACACAGACTCCTCCTGGGCTGATGACCAGACCGACCGACGCTCCTCTCAGGGGTACTGCTTCACCCTCGGGAGCGGAACTGTCAGTTGGCGCTCCACCAGGTCGTCTGCAGTCTCCCTCTCCTCCTGTGAGGCGGAGCTCTACGCAGGCACCATGGCTGCTCAGGAGGCCCGTTGGCTCACCTTCCTACTCCAGGAGCTTGGCTTCCCTCAGTCAGCCCCCACCCTCTGGTGTGACAACCAGAGTACCATCCACATCTCTCAAGACCCTGTGTATCACACCCGCACCAAGCATATTGAACTTCGGCACTTCTTCATTCGTCACCTAGTGCAACAAGAGCAGCTGAAGGTGGAATACGTGGCATCTGACTGCAACCTGGCTGACCTGTTCACCAAGCCCCTTGGGAAGGTTCCCCACCATCGTCTCCTTGGCGCCATGGGGCTCTGCGCTCCTCCTTCTCCGCCATGAGTTCGATTGACGCCTCAGGGGGGGTGTTGGTGTTAGGCCCCAATCTCACATTTTGTACTTGTACTTTTATATCCTAGTTTAGTGTACTTTGCACTTTGTGTTTGGTTGGGTGTACACCCACATCCCAACCAAACCCAAATGTAATCTCCAAGCAATCTCCAACCCACCAATTGGAGATTGCCTTGGGATTACCCTTGATTCCCTAGGATTGCCTCCTGATTCCCTCCTCATCCCTACCTTGCTCACTCCGGATGTACTTAAAGAGCTTTGAGCTCACTACTATAGTATCGATTCTAAGCTCAAGTTCTGACACATGCATGGTGACATGCATGGTGGGTGACATGCATGGTGATATGCATGGTGGATGACATGCATGGTGGTGACATGCATGGTGGGTGACATGCACTGTGTGTGTGAGCGTTTAAATGCACGCTGTGTGGAGCCTTGGTCCAGACACTGTTGCTACGGCCATAACAAGTGGTGAGTGGGGATGGTCTGAGAGGGGGTGGTCTGAGAGGGGATGGTTTGAGAGGGGTTGGTTTGAGAGGGGGTTTGCTTGAGAGGAGAGAAGAGTCACGGCAGCTGAGAGTCACTTCATTTCTCTCTGCGGTGATGAGCCCGTTTCTCACCCTTGGCCTCCTACTGTGTGAAAGGGAATCCTTCCCAACTTACAATGTGTCTATTGAGGACGACGACTCGTGTAACATGTTTTATGAGGATCAGAAAGTGCCACAAGCTGAAGAAGAGTTCGCAGTGCAGGCGCACCCGTTATTTGAGGCTTCAAAGGGCGATGGCTAAAAAATTGATTCGAACCTGAGCAGCATCTGCAGTGTGACGCTCACATGGTTGATCCAGAAAATTGCAATGTGAACAATGGCTTATCTGACAGCGGCTGCAGCAACCAGAGTTTCAAGGAGGAGCCTACCGCTTCCAATGCTGCCGGCAACCTATGCAGCCATGTCTACAAGTTCAAATGCTATCACAACAACTACAGAGCTGATTACAGCGAGACCGCGGCTCAATGATAGTCAGCTTCATGGTTATTGCAATAACAGCTGAAACTTGTAGATGCGGCTGCAAAGACTGCTGACAACTCTGGTAATGGTAGGCTCCTCCTTGGAGCTCTGGCCGCTGCAGCTGCTGTCAGACAAGCCATTGCTCGTGTTGCAAGTCTCGGAACCAGTCACGTTAACGTCATTGCTGCAGATGCTGCTCAGGTCCCAATCAAATCCCAAGCCATCGCCCTCTGAAGCCTCAAACAGCGGATGCGCCTGCTTTGCGAACTCTTCTTTAGCTTGTTGCACTACTTAGTTGTCCACGGGGGGCTACGTGGTGCTCTTTATTCCTCCCTGCGGCTAGTCCTACCTCCTCTTCCTCCCTTCACTGCTCCTTCCGCTCCGTCCACTCCATTGCTCTCTCCCTTCCCTGCCAGGCTTGACGGTGTGGTGGACAGTGTGACCACGGGGGGCTACGTGGTGCGCGATGCAGGAGGGCAGATGCACGAGGTAAGGCACTCACAAAGGGCTGATTCCGTCTCTCTCCTTGCACTTGCCTCGTTCACCAAAGGACAGTGCACCAGGATCTTGAACGCCCTCTTTATGCAGCAGTCTGAAAGGTGGACAGTGTGACCACAGGGGGGCTATGTGGTGCGCGATGCAGGCGGGCAGATGCACGAGGTACTGTTTTCATTCGCCTACACACACTTCTGTGCCCGCTCTTGCTCTCCTACTCCTCTTGCACTCCCTTCATACCCTCCTCTCAAACTTCTCTTTTCCCCTCTTACACCTCTCGCCCGCGCCCAAGGCATTATGCACATCGCATCTTGCTTTGTGCACTCGTGTGCACGGTGGGATTCTTGGTTAGTTTTTTTACATTTGAGAATCAGACTTTCCTGCTGCAGCTGTTTGGCTGACACTTACACGCACACTGCTTCACGCACGCACACACACACACACACACACACACACACACACACATACACACACACACACACACCACTCAATCGACCCCCAACACCACTTTACCCACACACGCCACCTCGAGACGAGAGTACGGCGGGTGGAGGAGAGTGAGGAGGACGCGAGGCGGCGGGCACAGGAGGCACTGGCAGCCGTGGAATGCACACACACACACACACACACACACACACACACACACAAACACACACACACACACACACACGCACACCCCAATTCACCAACACACCACCTGACACCCCCCCCCCCCCCCCCCCCCTCCCCTCCCCGCTCGCGCCCAAGTCATTATGCACATCACAACTTGCTTTGTGCACTCGTGTGCCCGGTGTGTTTCTTGGTTCGTTTGTCAACGTTTGAAAAGACGTAACGGCTGCAGCTGTTTGGCTGACAAATGCACGCACGTCGTTTCACACACACACACACCACTCGACCCCCACACACCACTTTACTCACACACACCACCTCGACACGAGAGTGAGGCGGGTGGAGGAGAGCGAGGAGGACGCGAGGAAGCGAGCACAGGAGGCACTGGCAGTTGTGGGGAGAGAGGCGGATGAGACGAGGAGAGCAATCTCACACCCAAATTCACCATCCCCGCACACAAACCCCCCCACCCTCACCACTCGCCTCACCCCACCACACACGCAAACCGCCTGCAGGTGCGGGAAACAAGAGTACGGCGGGTGGAGGAGAGTGAAGAAGACGCAAGGAAGCGAGCACAGGAGGCACTGGCAGCTGTGGAGCGAGAGGCAGATGAGACGAGGAGAGCCCTCAAGCGGAAGATGGAGGAAGCTTCCAGGACGGAGCTGGTGAAGAAGGAGATTCCGCTCAAGCTGAGGATCAAACCAGAGGACTCGGAAGATGTGGTGAGTGCAGTGCAGCGGGGTGCGGCGGAGGGGTGAGGGTTAGGGTCTGGTGAGGTCACATTGCTATGGTAACGTTGTCACTCTGACTTACTTGAGCTGTCTTATGACTTACCTCTTTCTCCATGATACCAGCACTTCATTTGTTTCCACTCATTCCTCCTATCCCGACCCTTGTCCTGTATCAGTGTCCCTTGTCCCCGTTGCCTTCTCCTTTTCCGTGAGCCTCCTCCCTTCTTCCTGCATTCTTCTCCCCAACAAGCCAACAACAAGAGGCGGATTCACTCGTTCCTGTCGCATGTCCTCTACCCATGCCCCCTCTCCTGGTCACGCTCTCCTTTCTCCCCGTCGTCTCCCCCACAGAAAGTGGAGAAGAAGCGGAAGATCCACGCATTCAAGTCAAAGCAGTGCAGATGAGCACGTGTTCTAGCCCCATGCGCTCTATCCATGTCCCATCTCCTGCTTGCCGGCTCCCTTTTGTCCCTCTCCCGTATCCCTCTCCCCCCCCCCCCAGAAAGTGGAGAAGAAGCGGAAGATCCACGCGTTCAAGTCGAAGCAGCGGATGGAGATGCTGGAGGTGATGAAGATGAGCACATGTTCTTGCCCCATGCACCCATGTCCCGTGTCCCTCCTCCTCCAAAACCCCCCCCCCCCCCCCCCCCCCCCCCCCCCCCCCCCCCCCCCCCCCCCCCCCCCCACCCCCAGAAAGTGGAGAAGAAGCGGAAGATCCACGCGTTCAAGTCGAAGCAGCGCATGCAGATGACAACGTGTTCTAGCCCCATGCCCTCTATCCATCTCCCATCTCCTGCTTGCCCGCTCCCTTCTGTCCCTCTCCCATGTCCCATCTCCTGCTTGCCCGCTCCCTTCTGTCCCTCTCCCATGTCCCATCTCCTGCTTGCGCACTCCCTTTTGTCCCTCCCCCGTGTCCCTCCTCCTTCCCCCCCTCCCATCCAGAGAGCGGCGAAGAAGTGGAAGATCCACGCGTTCAAGTTGAAGCAGCAGATGGAGATGCTGGAGGTGATGACGTCCCATGCCGTCCATCTGTTTCCGTCCTCGCGCCTGCCCCTCCCTTCCCCTCCTTCTACCCTCCCCCTGTCCTTCTCCTCGTCCTCACTCCCCCCCCAGAAAGTGGAGAAGAAGCGGAAGATCCACGCGTTCAAGTCGAAGCAGCGGATGGAGATGCTGGAGGTGATGACCAACAAGAAGCAGAACACGTGGCAGCAGTTCCAAACCAAGGGCATCAAGAGGAAGGTCTGCACCGTCCTCTCCCCTTTCCCTTTCCATGCTTGCTTCCCTTTTGAGATGCCTCGAAAGCAGAACACGTGGCAGCATCAAGAAGAAGGTCTGTAACGTCCTCTCCCCGCTTCATGCACATGCCATGCATGAGTCAGCTCTAGGAGCCTCTTTGCCATCCCACTCTTTCTCTCCTAACAATCCACTCTCTACTTCAGGACACCAATACGCCTGTTCGCCGTTACAATTATGCATCACCCCTTTCTGTTGTTTTGAGATTACTCATTCTGATGGTTTGAGATCACCCCATGTCCATCGCGGACATATCTTGGCTGCTGCCTCTGCCATTGGCACTTGACGGAGTGTCACTCACTCGCTCGCTCCCAGATTTTAGATGTGCCCTTGGCGCTTGTCTCGCTCACTCATTTTCCTCACTCGCTCTTCACCTTTCACATTTGTTGGGCTGAATATTCACTGCGACCATCATATGTCACCTCTGAGACTGCATCTGTTGAGGCACATCAAAGTCGCTTTCGCCTTTCACAGTCTTCAGAGTACACTCTCTCTCTCATCTCAACGACTTCATCTCTCGTCTCTCTTCCCTTCCTGACGGGGCACAAGAAGGAGAGCATGTTCAAATCGCCAGAGAATGTTGGCAGCAGGGTGAGGGTTACTCTTGAGGCGCCTAAGAAGTGCTCTCTCCATCCATCCCATCCCGTCCCATCCCATCCTCCCATCCCATTCTCTCAGGCGGGCTTCCTGACAGGCCGCAAGAAGGAGAGCATTTTCAAATCGCCAGAGGACGTGGGGGGCAAGGTGGGGGTGGTGGGGAGCGGGCAGGGCATGACGGATTTCCAGAAGAGAGACAAGAATCTCAACCTGCGCGCACAGGGCCAGGCAGAGGACGACTAAGGCTACACTGTTTCTGAGGCGCCGCAAACATAAGAAGGGCATGACAAACTTTCAGAAGAGGGACAAGAATCTCAACCTGCGTGCACAGGGCCAGGCAGAGGAGGATTAGTGCTACACCCAGAAGCTGTATTGTATGATCATGTGTATTGACGGTACGGAGCTCATTCTGCTAGTGTACAGAGTGGAGGTTAAATAAAAGTACCATACCAATGGATTATAACATTATGGGGGGTGGGAGACTGATGAGTGGGTGTACGATACGATTGATGCCGCATGGTCTTGAGGATTCATGTCCATCTGGTCCAACTCAAGGGCAGCCCTCCATTCCCCTTAGTAGCGCGGGATGGGTACGGACAGTGCAAACCTCGGCCCAGCACCTACAGTTACGACTGTCAATGTATTGTGCACTTTATAGGTAGTGTATCTTTCATCACCAAAAAACAAAAAATTGTTGGCACATTGGTCTAAACCTTCCATAGTTTAGGGTGCCAAAGGCAACGGGGGCAAGCGGTCCTTTTTAGTTCGGTGCGCCTGCTCCGCTCGTAGAGGAGTTGCCACAGGTCCGCCTGGAACGAGTTGTGGCGCTTTGGGCGCGATGTGGACCGCGTAAACGCGGGGTTCCGAGCAGGACAGTTCGAGGCAGGACAGGACAGGACAGGCCAGGCCAGGGCAGGTCAGAACACGATGGGACGAGACAGAGCAGGCCAGGTCAGGTCGGGAAATGGCAGATCAGGCCAGGACAGGAAAAGACCAGACAAGTCCGGACAAGACGGGACAGCACAGGACGGGGCAGGGCAGGACAGGACAGGACAGGACAGGACAGGACGGACGGGACAAGGTGGGGCGGGGCGGGGCAGGGCAGGGCAGGGCAGGGCGGGGCAGGGGGGAAAGCGAGTGCTTTATGAAATGGGTGCAGTGCTTTATGAAACGGGTGCAGTGGTTGATGAAATGGGCACAGTGCTTTATGAAATGGGTGCAGTGCTTTACAAAAAGCTCGCTATACGGCGATTGTAATAGACGGTCCACTCGAGGAGATCTTCTAGCAGCTCCTCACGCCACCACTCCGCGCCTCTGTGGAGGTGAATGCTTTCAGGGTCCCGAAAGCGCGAGAGCACGAGGTACTGCATATACTTCATCACAAACACGCCACAGTTACACGCGTCCGTCTGCTGTGTTGCCTGCAGCAGGAAGGGGTAAACAGGGTTTAGAGTGAGCGTCCGATGAGCGGGGAAGCAGGCTGACTGTCAATGCGAACCCCTCACCCACCGTCAATGCAAATCTCTCACCCACCTGGACTTTGACTAACGGCACGTGGCTGAGCATCAATGCGAACCGCTCGGGGCCTTACCCACCTGCCCCTGACCCCCCTCATCACCACCCCTCACCCCTCATCAGCACCCCTCACCCCTCATCAGCACCCCTCACCCCTCATCAGCACCCCTCACCCACCTGGACTTTGACTAACGGCACACGAGCAATCCAGTCGTCTGCCTCTGCCTCGGACACGCCTAGCATCAATTCTCGCAGCTGCTGCCGCAGGTACCTGCCAGGCCAGCACACCACTTGCTTGAATCATGGGGTTACAAATCACAGGGTTACGTGCATGATAAAGGCACAGGGTCGGGGATAGGAGCTTACTGCTGCAATGGCGCTTCAAATTCTGTGTGCAGGGACAGGGAGTCAGCATGTAGGATGCGGGTAGGGCGGCGTGGCAGTGTGGGCGAGCGGTCGTTGTCTAGGATGACTAGACTCCAATGATTAGTGCCACAACAATGACAATGAGAATAGCAATGAGAACGGGAATGACAATGCCAATTGAGAATGAGAATGAGAATGATTCCCACATGATGCGCACCGTTGGAAGGTGATGTGTTTGAGTCGACCCAAAGTCAGGGATGACCAAACGCCAATGATTACTACAAGCCCCACATGCGCACCGTCAGTTGATTACTACACAACTTGTGAAATGGGTCGCACCCACCCACCCAAGATTTCAATACCCAGCTTACTCTGCGTGCAGCGGAATGAGAACCCATCTGAACAGCAGCATGTTCTCATGTGCAAGGACCAGGTAACCCTCGCCTGGGCGACGAGGCATTGAGATCAAACCGAAAGTGAAAGTGGAGCAATATAGCCACGAAAATTCCTCGCACTTGTTTACGTACTGCAGCATCCTGTAAAGTACAAGGAACGAGGGCCGCATGCAAGGTTAGTACGGGACGCAGGCATGGTTCCGATGCACTGCAATTTACAGCACTTGATGACTCAACTGATGACACCACTCACAGTCTGAACCACTCGATCCCTTCTCCAGACACCCATTGCCGCGGTTGCAGAGTTTCCGCATCGCGCTTAGTAAGCACGAGCCAATCATCGTATAGGGGATACACCATTTCGAGTTTCGTGAAGGTTTCTAGCCGAGCCTCGCCAAAGGAGGGCTCGTCTTCCTCGTGCTCCATGCGCTCGTCCCCCTCGTGCTCCATGCGCTCGTCCCCCTCGTGCTCCATGCGCTCGTCCCCCTCGTGCTCCATGCGCTCGTCTCCCTCGTGCTCCATGCGCTCGTCCCCCTCGTGCTCCATGCGCTCGTCCCCCTCGTGCTCCATGCGCTCGTCCCCCTCGTGCTCCATGCGCAGCAACGGGGTTTGCTCAAGTCGCCGTGGATCGCGTGCGTCGCGCCGCGAGCAATTGTGAGGGACGGACGTAAAAAGCGGTTGCTTAGAGGTTCACACCGCTTAAACTCCAAGTCGATCGCGCAAGGCTCGAGAACAACCGCTCAATACCCGAGGGACGTGCACAATTCCTGCAAGTTGGCCATCAATCTACTGTTCTAGTTGGTCGTGCTCACGAAGATACGAAAGGGAGGAAATAGGTCAAAGTGCACGCGTGCGGGAACGATAGGTAGCGTGCGAGCAATCCACCAACTTAGGACGCGTTATCTCCGCAAGATCAGCGCAAATCCAATCATGCTGTCGGGATGAATGATCAGTGGGAAATGATCAGATTGGGGCCCCGAAGTTCTAGGAATAGAGCCAACTTGGGGCCTCGTGTGTCGCGATGTTTCGAACCTGGTCCGGACCTGTCTCTAACCAATTTCGGGCCTCACCCACGCGCTCCGTCAGACCTGACCACACGACGTGACGGATTTCTGAACGGACAAGCTGGCAAAAAATATAAACCCCATACAGGCATGCATCCGGTTAGGGAGGCATCAACCCTAAACACATTGTCGCATGTTTTTAGGGTTGATGCCTCCCCAATTTTATGCCATCCAATTGGGTTTTTTTTTTTTTTTACCACTACGATAATATTTTTGGGCTAAAATGTTTATTTCTGGGTTATTTTGCTGAAGTATCTGTACTGCCCATTGTGAATGGGCTGACGATCACTGCTCCCGTTAAGTAGGGTGCTAGCGAAATCCGTCAAGCCCAAGCCAGTAGGTGGTGACGTGGCGAGCTCGGCCTAGCTGCCTAGGCTTGTGGGTGGCTTTGGGCCTCCTTTCTAGGGTCGCGAATCACGAGGCCCCAAGTTGGCCATCTTTCTGCTAGTCCGAGGCCCCAGTATGATCATTCCCCATGATCAGTCGTGGTGAGGGCTGGAAATTTACTGATCAGAATTGCGATGCTGCTCGCAGTGCTGCTTCCGCTGCTGCTTGCACAACTGCTCATGGTGCATGCAAAAACTATCCCCAACTCCCAATAATCCAGGGCGTGTCCAGCTCGTTCATTTCGGGAAATTTAGTACAACCTCACGATCCGGGGTTCAAAACTAATCATTGTACCTAAACACAAATTCGCCCTGCGTCGAGTCCACCCTTTTTGTCAATTCTAGCGTGCGGACACATTCCCCCCACACAGACTTCAACAGTGTAGGGGCCGTGTGGAAACCGAGATAGCCGGTTTTCTCGTCAACCCAAGCGTTGGAATTTTCGCCAAGCCAACACTTCCTTTACGGGTTTTGGTGAGTGTCAGGCGGCGCAGGCGAAATCGAGCGCGCAATACAATGGGCACTCACTGTGTGGGCAGGACGCGGTTCTGTATCATTGTTCGATGCGCATGCTGATTCCTATAACGTGCGTCACACGATTCAAGGTACGTGCAGGGGGTGTGACGTATTTTGAACAGGAGCCGATCTTGTATGACATTTTTGTAAAAATCAATGTTACAACGTAAAATCTGATAACTGAAGGGCTTTACGAACAGTAAATGAACGAGCTGGGTGTCAGAATGTTATTATCTAGCATGTAGTGAGGTGCTCTATAGCGAGTACAACCCAGTTAAGGTTTGCTATATGTATCCCAACTGCTGCTAGTGAAACCCTTCTTTCGTCATTCTTCTTCTGCAACTTCTTGTTTCTGACATGCTATCAGAGCAGGTCGACCCCCTTGGGTCGATCCTGTGAGTGGGCCCACCACCTAACTACTTCCGTTGCTGTTCTACTTCTCGCGCGACATCTTCTTCCTGCCGCGCGCGAAACCCTAAACCCGAATGTTTTTTGGGTTTCTTCATCTCGCCGTGCGCTTGGGGCGCGCGGCGGTTTTTTGCTGTGGGGACCCGCGCACAGCCCCCGCCCGTCTCGTCGCGTTGCCCTGCAGGCCGCGCGCGCCCCCCCTCCCGTCAATCGCGACGCCCTGGGGAGCAGCGTGCGCCCCCTGCCCGTCCGTCGCGACGCCCTGGGGAGGAGCGTGCGCCCCCCCCTCCCTTCCGTCGCAACGCCCTGGGGAGCTGCGTGTGCCCCCCGCCTGTCCGTCGCGGCACCCTAGGGAGTCGCGCGCGGCCCCTTGCCCGTCCGTCACGGCGCCCTGGGGAGCCGCGCGCGCCCCCCGCCCTTCTGTCGCGGCGCCCTGGGGAACCGCGCGCGCCCCCCTTGCCCGTCCGTTTCGGCGCCCTGAGGAGGAGCGCGCGCCTCCCCCCCCTCCTGTCCCGTCCCCCCCCCCCCCCCCCCCCCCCCCCCCCCCCCCCCCCGTGCTGCCCATTCCTCCCGTACCGCCGTGCGTTCCGCGGTGGTGGGGGGTGTGGGGTGGCAAGCATGGGGGTGCGCGGTGTGGGTGTTCCCCTCCTCCTTGTTCGTCTCCCACTACTGCAACTGCTGCTGAGGGGGGTGGAGGTGTGGGAGCCGCGGGGAGTGGAGTTGTGGGGGTGACGTGGGAGTGGAGCTAGGGGTGCAGCAGGGGGTGTGTGGAAAGGAGGTGGGACTGTTTGGGGAGGCTGAGAGGAGGCCGTCGTCGTGTCGTGCGCAGCGCCTGTAGTCCGGAGCCGTTGCGCTCTCGGTAGCACAGAGAGCCTTGATGTGCCAGTCGCCTGTGGGTCCGTTGCTCCTGCCGCTCGTCATAGCCGCAGAGCCAGATACTCCCGTAGTCCGGTGCCCTCGTGCGCTCGGTAGCCACTGTGCCAGACTGTGAGGATCTAGGATCGAGCTCAGAAAAGAGAATGTAGTTGAATGGAATTGAATTGAATCACCTGGGTACAACACGAGGCTATGTATAGGCTCGACACAAAGCCCCGTAACCAGGTGTTACGCGAAGGTTCCGCGGGTCGCGTAGCGTCCCGAACAGATCCTTACCGAATTCGGTAGAAGGCAATTCGGTGGCAACCGAAAAGGCCAGAATTCGGTACACGCAACCTAGCTCGGTGCTATAGCTATAATAAAATATAGGAAAGTGTCAGAATCCCAACCACTAGACCATTGGGATAAAAGGGTTTGTTTCAGTAGCGGGTCAGTGCGCCCATAACCCCCCAGGCGAACGCGCCTGTAACCCTCTCCAGGATCAATCGGGCATCCACAGTGCAGATCTACTGACACCCCCCCACACTAGGAGGCCCAGGACTAAGCACAGCGGCACCGGCCTACATGTGCATACACCGGGAATCGAACCCGAGACCGCTCTGATACCATGTCAGAATCCCAACCACTAGACCATTGGGATAAAAGGGCTTGTTTCAGTAGCGGGTCAGTGCGCCCATAACCCCCCAGGCGAACGCGCCTGTAACCCTCTCCAGGATTAATCGGGCATCCACAGTGCAGATCTACTGACAGAAAGCACCTAGCCTAGGAAATCAAGCAATTCATGCATGCATATGATTATCCTATGCTAGAAATAGCATAATAAAGTAGAGGCAAGCAAGCATAGCTGGCATAAGCCGTCGTACTCTCACACGTCCCCCCCTCAAAGCTGGGTGGCGTGAGATACACCCTGCTTGACAAGATAGTCCTTGAGAGCACGGCGTGCGTTGCCCATATCAGCTTCTGCAACCCAACTGTCCTCAGTGGGGTCGTATCCCTTCCAGCGTATCAGGAACTCGAGAGTCTTGCCGCCGCGACGCCGATGAGAGAGAACGCGCTCCACTTCGTACTAGGGTTTGTAGATGATGTTGTAGTGGAAGTGGGTCTCCAAGAAGTCCACCCACCGCACTTGTCGTCGTGAGAGTGTTGGCTGCGATTTCAGGTATTTTAGACTGCAGTGGTCAGTATAGACTGTAGTCTTGGCTACCTCTAGGTAACAACTCCACGCTTTGAAGGCTATGACTATCGCTAAGGCTTCCTTATCGTGAATGGGGTAGTTCAGTTCTGCTCCGTGTAGCTTCTTACTGAGGTAGGCGATAGGCCGTAACCCTTTCCCGTGATCCTGCATCAGTACTGCTCCGACTGCCTGGTCACTAGCGTCAGCTTCAACTACGTAGTCCTTCTCAGGGTCTGGTAGGATGAGTACCGGGGCTGTGGTCAATACGGTCTGTAGGTGCTCCATGGCTTGCTGATGAGGAGTATCCCATTTGAAGGGTGTATCCTTTTTCAGTAGGTCGGTCAGTGGCACTGCAATCTTAGCGTACTGTGGCACAAACCTGTTGTAGTAGTTGGCGAAGCCTAGGAACTGCTGCAACTCCTTCACGTTCTCCGGTACTTTCCACTTTTTGACGGCTTCGATCTTCCGCGGATCCACGTCTACGCCCTCGGCAGTCACCATGTACCCGAGAAACTGCACCTTCTTCAGGGCGAAGTCGCTCTTTGACAGCTTCACGTAGAACTTGTTCTTCCGCAGGATCTTGAACACCTTCCGCAGATGCTCCACGTGCTCCTTCAGGTTCTTGGAGTAGATGAGAATATCGTCCAGGTACATCACCACGCACTCGTCTAGCAGGGGCCGTAAGATGTGATTCATCTCCGCCTGAAACGTTGCTGGTGCGTTACAGAGTCCGAACGGCATCACCAAGTATTCGTAGGAGCCGTATCGAGTACGGAACGCCGTCTTGTGGACCGAGTTGTCTGCCATCTTGATCTGCCAATAACCCGAGCGTAGGTCCAGCTTCGAGAAGACTGTTGCACCACGCAGTTGGTCTAGTAAGTCGTCGATGCGCGGTATGGGTTATTTGTTTTTTACCGTCTGTTTGTTCAATGCGCGGTAGTCGATGCACATCCGTAAACTGCCGTCTGGTTTTGGTGTGAAGAGAACTGGTGCGCCGTAGGGGGAGGTGGAGGGTCGGATCAGTTGTCTGTCCAGTAGATACTCGATCTATTTCTTCATATCTGTCAGTTCGGTCGGACTCAGTAGGTATGGTGCACGTGAGATGAGTTTCGCACCTGGTTCCTCCACGATCTCGTGCTCGTGGGTGCGCGCTGGAGGTACGCCTGCGGG